TGTGTTTTGTAAGTTTCATAGCTCATTGCAATCTTCCTTCGAACTTCTGCATGGATGTCTCTGATATGCTTACTTAAAGCATCAGCTTCAGCACTAGGGCATGGCACAATTGGTAAAGGCACTAAGTCAATTGGTTTCCGAGGACATAAACCTGTCACAATCTCAAAGGGCTGTGCCCTGTGGATTTGTTTACAGAACTGTTGTACGCAAATTCAGCCATAGGAAGAATCTGGTCCCAGCTACTAATATGGTCACCAACAAGACAACGAAGCAAATCACTCAAGCTGTGATTAATAACCTCGGTTTGGCCGTTAGTTTGGGGGTGAAAAGAAGAGGAAAACTTCAGCCCTGTATTCAGCATCCTCCATAATGTGCACCAAAAATAACTCATAAACTTTGTATCTTGATCAAAAACAATGGTGTTTGGCAATCCATGAAGCCGAACAACTTCTTGAAAGAAAAGCTTGGCAATGTGGACATCATCGGATGTCTTGGAACAAGGAATGAAGTGTGCCATTTTTGAAAAACGATCCACAATAACAAATATAGCGTCATGACTTTGACTTGTTTTGGGCAACCCAAGAACAAAGTCCATGCTTAAATATTGCCATGGCTCATGAGGGACTGAGAGCGGCGTATATAAACCTGTATTTTGGCCACATCCCGTTTCAAACTTGGCCAAAAAAAATGATCTTCCAGCATTGCAATGTCTTATCTCTTCCAAAATAACCTGCTGCCCCACCAGCATGCAACTCCCATATCACATGTTCACGAAGAGATGTCTTAGGCAAACAAAGTTGGGTTCCTTTGAAGAGATAACCATCATGCACCGAATAATCAGGATATGTACCCTGCTGTCCAGCTATCAAATCAGCATGTATGATGCTGAAGTCCATGCAAGATAAGTAGTCTCGTTTAAGCATATTGAAACCAAGAACTTGGACAGCTATGGAGGCAAGAATATGAAAAACTCGGCTAAGTGCATCGGCTGCCTTATTCTCAACACCAGCTTTATGTTTGATGACGAATGAATACTCTTGCAAGAGTGAAACCCACTTCCCATGTCGGTGCCTTAACTTCTTTTGGGAGTTAATATATTTGAGGGCCTCATGGTCAGAATACAACACGAACTTCTTAAAAAGAAGGTAATGATGCCAGTAGTGAAGTGCTTGTCACAGCGTAAAATTCTGTGTCATAAGTGGAATACCTTTGCTTTGCTTCATTAAGTTTCTCACTAAAATATGCAACTGGATGTCCTTGATTAAGCACGCCACCAATTCCAACCTGTGAAACATCATATGCAACTTCAAAAACTTTTGAGAAGTCTGGAAGGCGCAAAATAGGAGCTGCAGTCATTCTTTTCTTCACTTCTTTGAAAGCATGTGATACTGCCTTTGTCCAAACAAACTGGATGTTCTTCATACTATTGGTGATAGGGGCCATTATTGTGCTGAAATTTCTAATAAATCGCCAATAGAATGAAGCTGGCCCATGAAAACTCCGTGCTTCCTGCGATGTGCTGGGAATTGGCCAATCTAGAATTGCTTTCACTTTATCAGGATCAACTTCTAGCCTTCTACCCCTTTTGGAAGAAACAACAAAGCCCAAAAACACCACACTCGGCAACATGAAGGAACACTTCTTCAAGTTCATGTAAAGCTTCTCTTGGCGGAGAACTCTCATAACTTGTTGAAGGTGGGAAATATGTTCCTCCCTCGTTCTGCCGTAGATTAAAATATGGTCCAAGTAAACAACCAGAAATCGACCAATAAAGGGGTGTAGTACCTGAGTCATGAAGCGCATGAATGTACTAGGGGCATTGGAAAGGCCAAATGGCATAACAAGCCACTCGTGGAGTCCATCTTTTGTATTGAAAGCTGTCTTCCATTCATCCCCGGACCTTATGCGAATTTGATGGTAGCCACTTTTCAGATCTATCTTTGAAAATATACAAGAACCAGCCACCATGTCTAGCAAATCATCGATTTGAGGAATAGGAAACCGATACTTGATTGTAATCTTGTTGATGGCTCGACTTTCAACACACATGCGCCAACTTCCAACCTTCATTGGTGTGAGCAAAGCTGGGACAGCACAAGGACTTAAGCTTTCACCGATAAATCCTCTGGACAGCAGTTCATTAACTTGCCTTTGAAGCTCGGCATACTCGCTTGGATTCAAACGATAAGCTGGAAGGTTAGGCAATGGAGACCCTGGTACAAAGTCGATCGCATGATGGATATTACGTAGAGGAGAGAGTTCATTAGGGAGATCTTCAGGAGACAAATCTAAGAAATCTGACAGCAAGTTGGCGACCTCTGATGGCACTGAAGAATCATGAACAACAACAGTTTCTTTGATTTCCCTTGCTACAACAGCATATATTACACCCGTCTCTTTAATTTTCAATTGAAACATCTTCTTGGAAAGAAGATGGAGGGACTTTTTCTTGCTTTTCGCATCATCTACAGCCTGCCCACCTTTATATTTCTCCATTTCAGCTGAAGAAATAGGCTTCAAAATAATCTGTTTGCTGTTAAACAAGAAAGTGTATTTATTCTCCTTCCCACAATGATACAAATCTCAATCATCCAAGGCTGCCCAAGGAGAATATGCATCACTTTGATGGGAATTACATCACACCAAACAGAATCATTATAAGCTCCACAAGAGAAAGAAATGAGACAACGTTGAGTTACCGGAATAGAAGTACTATCTATCCACGCCACTTTGAATGGCTGTGGATGCGGTTGGATTGAAAGCTTGAGGCGCTCAACCGTGGCTGCAGACACAACATTCATGCAACTTCCGCCATCAATAATGACCTTTCGCGCTTGATTCCCACAATGAACTGGCATTTGAAAAATAGATGTGCGTCACCAATCTTCATCTTCAACTTTAGGGTTTGCAAGGATGTGCCTGACAATGGAGATTGATGGAACATCTTCATCCTCTTCTAGATCATCAGGGTTGTAGATCCCATAGTCAAACATGTTCCCATTATCCTTTCCCCTTTCCCCTTTCCTCTTTGTTCTTCTGGCTCTTCTTCATGCATTATCCCAATGTGTAAATTGTCTTTGGACATTGGTATGCCATGTGACCTGTTTCTCCACATTTGAAGCACTTGTTATCCTTTCCACTATCTTTGTTGGCCACAATACTCTTCCCTTTAGGATTAGTCATTTTAGAAAAGTGCAGTTTTGATCCAGTATTTCCACCATTTGGCTGCGCTGCTGCTGATTGTGTGCTGTGATTTCCATCACTGGACTTCTTGGGTGCTGCCTCCCAGATTTGATATCCAGATCTTCAAGCTGTTTGATAACTCAAGTACTCCTCCATGTCCAATGCAACCTAAAAAACATGTTCAACACCATATAATGACTCGCGAAGCAATTCGCTTCTGATATCAGACCTTAGACCAGCCTTGAATCTTGCAAGTGTTTGCCATGGGTCTTCCACAACTTGACTTCTAGTCTTTAACTCATCAAATCTTTGCATATATTCCGCGATTGACATGCTGCCCTGCTCTAGATTGATAAGTTGATCACACAGTTTGTCATGGTAATTGGCAGGCATGTATTTCTCTTGAAGCTTTGCCTTCATTTCTTGCCATGTGCTGATTGGTGGTTGTCCCAGCCTCCTAATATCCCCCCCTTCAACACCAGTCCACTATATTTTTGCTACCCACAAGCTTCATTCTGGTAAATCTCACTCTACGATCATTACTCATATCATACCAATCAAAATATCCTTCAATCGAAGCAAGCCAATCCGAAAATACAATAGGATCAATCTTACCTTCAAAATCTGGCACCTCCATTTTAATTTTCTTCGTGATATCCCTAGCGTTATCATGTGGCTCATGATAATTCACTCCCAGCAGATTTCTTGGAAACTCGAACATTGGGAGTGGTGGTGGATCAGCCCTCACATTCTGCCTTTGCTGCACATTTAAAGGATGTTGTTGCTCTCGACCACTACCATCATTTGTCCTGGATGCAGTTACTTGTTCAATAGAAGCAAAATTGTTAATAGGTTGACATATTCGAGCTTCTAACTCATTGAATCAGAGATTCAACCCATTAAGCTGCTCCACAAGCTTAAATATTAGCTCATCTCGCTGATTACTACCCGATCTCTCACTTCCTGAGTGTGTCGACATGATGCCAACTAAGGCTCTGATACCAAAAACTGATGTAGGACAAAGAACAAGCTCAAATAGAAGAAAGCAAATAAGAGTTGTGTGCTGGAAATTCAGAAAACAAGCTAAGATTCAGGGGTTGTCAGTAGAGAAGAAGGATTGAAAATAACAACAAAAAGTCTATTGGAATCACTCCAACAGGGCCTAGGTATCATACCTAGAGTCTAGAGAAGGCCTCACACCGAGAATTTTTTGAATCGCTCACAAGAAATCTCAAAAGATATTTTGTTATTCATTTATTCATTGACTGAGTAATCAGAATTACATAGTATCCTTTTTATAATAAAGGATGACCCTTGGATTACCTTACAATGGAGGTAATCAAAAGTTGACTCTAGCTTAATAAAGTAACAAATAACTTAATTGACGCAATTTACCAGAACAATGAAATTTCAGCATAATTAATGCAATCACCAAAATAATGCAATTTGACTAAACCCCCTAATTATGCAAGACTCCAAGTGGACCCCCCATTGTATAGCATGTGCCAAATTAAGGTTTGAGCCTTAGAACACTCCTTGCCACGCCTTTTATATACTTTAAAAGGCTGCTGCCACTGTTCACTACCAATTTGTTTAAATCTCTGCTTACATTGTGCTGTTTTTCAATTTTTTCATAATACATTTTGTGCTATAATTTTACACAGGTCCAGTGGTCAATTCCCTCTTTTATTTATTACGGAGTACTTTTTAGCTTTTCTTCTGTTGTAATTTTTTAATTCCTAATATCTTCTATGAAAGTAAAGATAGTTTCCATTTTTTATAGTTTACTAAACATGTGTTGTACTTGAGGTTCCCAGAGGTGGGGAATCCAATGATGGGTTTGCGGAAGAAGAAATAAGAGGCATACTTGAAGTTATTGCAGCCACTGGGAAATTCTGGTATGCTTACGTGTTAATAAATTTCAGCATTTCAGCCTTTGCTCATTTTGCTACTGTTAGTGTCTACCTGCTCAAATCACCATCATCATCATTGTCCTCGTCTTCTTGTTTTAAGTTGGGTTAACAAGTATAATAGTTGTCTGATTCCTTGGTGTGCATGTGAGATAGCACTGCTGGCTATGAACATGGCATGTATGTCTTACTTAAAATGGGTTTGTTCAGCACATGGGGGTCTTTGGCTCCCTTTACCATGCTTGTCCTGTTGACATGTCAACAAAATTTAATTTCTTGCTGCAGTGGGAAAAAAAAGCAAGCACCCTCTGTCTGGGAACTTATGAGAGGGATTTCTGGAACTTCGTCTACTTCAGTGAAGACTTTATAAAACTCACATCAAAACCAAGCGTCTCATATGCTAGACAAAGTCACTACCATTACCACCTTGTTTCTATAACAACCATAGTCAATGTCACTGCCACCATCACTGCCTCTATGTCACCATCACTAACCATCAGTCTCCATTGCTACTGTTGCCATCATTGAGGTTGTTGTTGCCAACTTGCCACTGCTGACATGTTATCATAACATTCACTGAATTCACCACCACTATTGGTGATCCCTTCCGGCATGTGGTAGTTATTGGTACCATGAACAGCATCATAATGTTCCTGTGATTGGCATCACCACCAAAGTATACATGCTACCACTGGTGATGCCATCACTATTGCATTAACAACTGAATCACTGTCAAAATTCACCATCCTGATAGCACCATCATGTACTTTTACCTCAATTGTTGTTGCTGTTTCCACAAGTGTTATCATTGCCAGCATCAGTACATTAATTTTTCGAAGTCCATGCCATCACGGAACCTTCACTGTTGCTGCCAAGGTTGCCGTCATTGTCCCTGCCATTACCTTTTTGTAATTGTTTTCACAAATGTCTCTTTCTTCTCTAGGTACCCTTGGCTTTTTGCCCAAGTACAATAAAAATTTTAAAAGCCAACTTCATCAAATATTTTTTTCAACTACGTAAAGTTTGTTGTAGTAAGGGAACTAAAACCGTGATGTGTGTGCCAAGCACGATCATGTTGTTTATTATATGAGTTGATAGTTCTTTATGACTATTAATTTTGCTTATCTATTCCAAGGCCATAATCAGAGCATGGATGAGGCCCAAAAATGGGCAACAAGACTAGAATTAGAGAACTCCATCCCAATTACATCAATTGGGAGGCCCACTAGGATTGGAATTTAAACTGCTTGGGTTAATTATACAGCATTGAAAATAGCATGCAAGCCATGCATTTGAAGTCTTGGAAGAGAGTACAAAATTTTGATCACCTAACTGATGGAATTCTTGAAGACATCAGAGCCTTAATAAGAAAACATGTTTATTTTGTTGGGCTTCTTGTTCGTCTTCTGTGCCTATGCCACAAAGTGGATCTCGATTTTTGGTTATCAATTGCCAACACTCCTCCCGGGTGATTCCTTTTTTTCAGATTGATGCTTGAACAGATCAAATTACACAGACAAATTAATGTCTATGAGGATGTTTTTATTTTTTGTGGTAAAGAAGTTCAATTAGGGTTTTAAGTAGCCACTCCCGCTTTATTTTTTCAACTTAGGGTCTTGTGGAGAGCACACTTTTTCCATTATTACCAATTATTCTACTTAATGAGGAAAATTCTGATCTGACCTTCTCTTGCCGGTACTTGGATTTCTCTTTCTGACATGCTAATTTTATCTCATTTATTATTTTAGTAGAATTCTATAGTTTTTTTAGTTGAACAGGATAATGTTGGGAACTGGTGATGTGGCGACTTTGTGGGCGGGTGTGCCGTGGGCGGGTGCAAGAAGCACTGGCAGACTATCACACTGAGCGAGCTATAGGTGCACAATCCCACATTGCCTGGGTGTGGAAAGGGAAAATGCTATATATGTGGGATTTGTACACCAATTATTCTAGGGGAAAAATATGTCTAGCTTTTTCAAGAAGACATATTCTATTGATTTTCGCAAAAGTATTTTGTGGAAAATCATTTTCACCAACTAACTGGGCAAGCTTTAAAAATCAATTTATGTGAGTTTAAAGAAAAATATTTTTCCCAGTCAATTGTTAAACAAATTTGGACGCAAAGCTTTTTAAGCTCTTCGGTCATAGCTATTTGTTCAGCAATGAGGGAAGCAAGAGCACTCAGGTGTTGTCAGAATTTCTTATTGCAGTCGAGTTGATGCATTTTCCATACACCATTAATTTCATCATAGAAATTTGTTTCGGGGTGAAACCCAAGAGCAAAACAGTGCGGTCTCGGGCCTAAAGCGGACAATATTATACCATGTGGTGGAGTGGGTTGTTGCAAATGGTATCAGAGTCTGACCCAGCCGGAAGTGTGACCAACGAGGATGTTGGGCCCATTAGGAAAGGGGGGGGGGGGAGGGGGGTGCACTGGCAGGCTACCACACTGGGCGAGCTACATGTGCACAATCCCACATCGCCTGGGTGTGGAAAGAGAAAGTGTTATATATGTAGGATTTGTACACTCCAATTGGTACGAGGCTTTTTTGGGGTAAAACACAAGAGCAAAGCCATGCGGGCTTGGGCCCCAAAGCGGACAATATCATACCATGTGGTGGAGTGGGTTGTTACCGGTGAATTCAAATTTATATAGTGAAGCAGTAATCTGTTTTGCTACCCAGGTCCTTCACTTTCCAGGTTGTAATAATTGGCAAGAGTTTCAAAACAGGATTTGCTCCTTGTTTAGTTTTAGTTATCCATATTCACTCGTGTGGTTTTCTTTTTCCCCTTGAAATTCCTTCTTCACTGAGCTAATTGAAAAGAGAAAAAGCTTCTGTAATTAAAACTATAGAATCATAATTCTAATTTGATTCCAGTTTCAATGGAATTTGAATTTGATTTGGAGTTGGAATGCAATTCAATACTCCAATTCCTATTAGATCCTAAGATCACATAATGCTTTCGAGTGGTGACCTAGGTTCATTTGGCATAACGTCTAACCCCCACCACCCCACCCACCAAAAATAAATAAATAATAAAGTAAAAAAATAAAAGACAATTTGTGTTGAAGCGGTCTCGGCTTTCTCACATATAAGAACACAGGTCTTATACTTGTTTATGGGCATTGTGCATCTTATATTTTATATCTGGCCTATAAATTCTTGAATATTACATGTTTTATACATGTCTTTGTTTGTACAGACAATGGTGGCGTCAGAGCTTTTCCCTGTAGTGGGGGCCAATTATAAATGTCTAGATTATAGTTAAATAAAGAAGTTGTAAAAATAATTCTTCTGTTGTTAAAGATTTAAAAAGTTTTATCACCATGAATATGAAAGATAAATTTCTATGTGATGAACAATTCAATAAATCAATAAGAGTTGATGATGTCAACTGTGGTATAAATTTCTACAAAATTGAAAATAAGAAAATTTGGAATTGTACTTTACGAAATTGTCCTTGGTAGTTTAGATCAGTCTATAACTCCTTAAAATCATTTTTCTTGTAAAAAAAAGTTCAAAAACTAATCCGTACTATCTTCATCATAATATTTTATATTTATTTTTCCCCTGGGTAAAGTGGAAATTTTATGAAAATATGGAACAATATAGTACAGTACAAGAAAACAAACAAGGGCATACCTGTGAAAGAACAGCCACAAGGCTAACAAAAGAGTAAAACAGCCTACAAAAGGCACGAGAAGAGAACAAAAAAAAAAAAAAAAAAATTAGAATAACTTTCAGGGAACGTGTACCACCCAGGTATTTCTTTATACACTTGATAGGTTCAGGTCCCCTTCTTGGCATCTTCTTTTTTTTTTTTCTTTTTTTTTTTTCATAATTGGAGTTGTATTAAAAAAAATGGGAAGAATGGCCTCTTATCCTGGCACTGTACAGATCATGAAATTCTGAAGGAAAATACCCAAGCCGTAGATATTATCTTTTGTTTTATTGTTAATGACATACTCATGTTATGTATGTTGCACCTCAGGCATAATTGGGACAAATTGAAGAACATGCTATCCTTTCATCTAAAACAGGTAAGGGGATGTATGCCAGGCTGCCAGTATGTAGCTTTTAGTTCACAAAAATCATCCATGGTTTTCCTTAAATGCAATGGGAGTGAACAGTTTCTTCTTTAGTCTTTTTATGTCCTCGATGATGATCCTTATCCTCTTTACTCAAATTTATTTGGAAGGTCCTCTCAGAGTATCCAGAGGCAAAGATGGCTAGTGACCAACAAATTTCTTCATTGGGGGAGACTTTCCCAGAGTTGGTGAAAAGGTTGGATGATGGTATTTCCATAGTCATTTACCTTCTCTGAATTTTTTCTCTCTGCAATGTGGCTAGTCTAATGTTATTGTGGAATGACATTCCATGCATATAAACAAAAGATTGCCTACTAAATGTTTCTTCGTGGTATCCCGGTTCCTTTTTTAATTTTATTTTATATATTAGTGTATCACTTTTAAGGATTATGTAGCTTGTGCTGGAACAATTGTATTTTGGTTTTATTTATTTATTTAATTGGCCTAAGCATGCTGATAAATACAAATCAAGTGTAATCCTTATTTTCTTAAAGCTTGTCTTGGAATTGTTAGCGCACTACCAGCTTAACAAATAGTTCATATGTCACTGCTGTCTGCCTATTTCATCTTTTATTTGAATGGTGACCTTTCTGTAGGTCAAACTTGGTGACCGTTTAAGTTGATGAAATGTGGCTTTTTTGAATAGCCAGGGACTCTCCTGTCTTGTCTGCGTGTGTAGATTGAATTTTTTGGGAGAGTTCTATTTTGTATTTGTAAGTATTGTAACAATTAATTAATACTTCTCTTAGGTTTATGTGCGGTATGGTTTGTGTCTTGCCTAAAAGGTTGATTCTTCTCCAAAATGTGAGAAGTGCGATATATAATTTGTGTGACATTAAGGGGGCGTCCAAAAGTTTGATTTCCACAAATTTCCCATTTGATTAGGGGGGACAATGTGATTAAATTACAAGCCACCAAAGTCCTCTCTACTCTTCAAAAGGAAAGGGAAAAAAGTAATAATAAAAAGTGGCATAATGCGGTGGATTTTTTCGAAGTTTTCTTGTTCGCTAAGCCTGAAGGCTTGCATGTTGGCCAAGTGCAAATATTTCAACTGTGTCTGATATCTAGGGGTAGCTGTTCGTGTTAACCTTGTTATTTTTTGTGTAATGTGAAGCATGGGTATGCCAAACAATGGAAGGGAAGCATAAATTTGGTATATTATGTAAAGTGACATTATTACCCCCATCATTTTTTGTAAAATTATGTAATGAGTGTATAGTGGTAAAAACACAGTAAAAATACCTCCTCTCTTACCAAGCAATGGAATGTGTCACCCCCTTCTACACTCTTCCACTCAACCAAACAAAAAGTATCGGGCTTTAAAATGAATAACACATAGGTTAAAAGGAAATTCTATAGGATCGTTATTAGGCCAACTATGCTTTATGGAGTGGAGTGTTGGGTTATAAAAAAAAAAAAAAAAAGCATCTTCATGTTGCGGAAATGAGAATGTTAAGATGGATGGTTGGAGTGACTAGAAGTGATAGGGTCACAAATGAATGTGTAAGAAAAATTAGGTGGGGCACCCATTAACGAGAAAATTAGACAGAGTAGACTAAGATGGTTTGGGCAGGTTCCCCGGAGACCTATAGATGCACTGGTGAGAAGAGGAAGTTTAATTTCCATAGAGGTAAGAGACGAAGAGAGAGACAAAAAATAACGTGGGATGAAGTTATTAGAAATGACTTTAAAAAGTTGGTGATATGGAGGGTAATAGAATGGAATGGAGACGGAGAATTCATGTGGCTGATCCCATTCATATGGGAACAAGGCAAGAATGATGACAATGATGATGATGACATGATGATAAGTCTATTATGTTTCTTATTTATAGTGTTATTATATAGCATTAAATTTTTTACTACACAATGTTAATGAAGGTACTGTAAGAGTTCGCTTGTTGGACTATGATCTTACTGAGTTGCTAGCTCATCTTGTTGAATATTCTTTTAGGTAATGCTCAAGTGGTTTGCGAGTAGTGAATCTAGGTAGCTTATTAATCAATTTAACTTGCATGTGTTCATTTTATGTTATTTTAAGAGACTTGTAGTGAGTCTCTCAGGTTAGCAAGAGCATTGGTTTATTTTCTTATTATCTTTTCCTTGCTCAAAAGACACTGAGAATTGAGATAGAGAATATTATTTCATAATGATGATCCACCAAGCCTATTGTAGCAGAGTGACCTATCTTTCTCATGGACATGCATAAGACAGGGCCATATGTGGCCTTAACAGTAAGGATGCAGCATTCTCTACACAGGATGCATGTATTTGTGTAACAAAATATCATTGAATGGTGGATGCATGCAGGGTTGGAAGGACCAAAAAGCTGAAAAGGTACTTCAGTGCAACCCTTCTTTGCATGCCCGAACTCGAATATGCCCTCACCAAATGGGGAGAAGCACATCTCCAGCTTTGTTCATTGTTCAAGGCCTTGTATTTCTACACTATTCCTACACCAGTTCTTACTTCAATTCCGTGACTGCCATAATTTTCATCTAGCTTCGTCACTAACATTACCACTGTTTATGGATTTGGTGAAAGGCACCTGCATCATTCACCACCAAAGCCAGTTATGGCTGAATTTCCCTGACCACTTCACTTCTATTGATCTTCTTAATTTATGCTATGTTTGGTTGGAAGGAAGGATTGAGGAAGGATGGAAGAGAGGAAGGATGGAAGAAGCTTCCTTGTTTGGTTCGAAGGAAGGGAATAGATGAAGGAAGCAAGGAAGGATGAAAGCATTCTTCGTAAGCGATGTTTTTGGAAAGCTTTTTATCCGTCAACATTGGGCGGAAGAGATGAGGGAAAGGTAAAAAAAAAGTTACTATACAAATATGTATACCAATTTTTAGCTTTAATTACTTACAGAATAACTTGAACCCTAGTGAAATTTTCTCACATGTATAGTAAGGTTATATTGGTAAAAAAATATAAAAAATCTCATTCTCTTCCTTCCAACCAAACAAAAAAGGTGTCACTCCATCCCTTTCAATTATCCCTTCCATTCAACCAAACAATGAGTGAGGGAGACATCTTTCCTTCCCTAGGGATGCCTCAACCATCCCCCTTCCATCCATTTTTCCATCCCTCTAACCAACCGGAGTAGCGTGTTCAGATTTTTACACCCTTTTTTTTCTCCTGCTGTTATTTAACTTCCTGTACTTTTGCTCTCCCATGTAGTCAGGCCACTCCATTCTTTTGTTTCCTACGTCTCTTGGTAGTCATCATGTCTTAACAGGTTTGATCAAGATAAAAATAGTGAAATTTGATTTGTGTAATAGTAGAAAGTAATTACTTGTCTTGCTTTTCAACCTATCAAAGAAAAGTAATTTTCTCTATTCTAATCATAGTAAAGTGGTTGAGAATATAAGATCAGCTTATCTCGAGGGGAAAAAAAAAGAGGAGGGGGGGCTTGGGGGGTGGAAGTGGAAAGATGAAAAGAGAAATCTATACATTTCCGTTGCATAATCTCTCTTCTGCTGTGGACGAATAGACAACTGGAATAATATGGTGGATACATAGAGTGGCTTAAAAGATGTTTCCATGAGAGATTTCGGGTGGTCTCCGGCTAATTAGCAGAGACATGGACATCATACGCGGATATGTTGACAGATCGAATCCTAAAAAAGTAGGGCATGAACAAAATGTAGACACTACTATATATAAATATAAATTTTTATCTATGTACATATATTGCTTAATACAATGTAACTTTAATTAATTTTTAATTTTTATACTACAAGTTGCATAATTTAGAAGCTGAAACTATGAATAATATCGTAAAGATTATTATTTTATATATTATATGCAATTGTCTCCTACTTTGGTATTTATGACTATATTTTTGTGTTTTTTTTCCTTTTAAATTGCCATTGTATTTGTATGCTTGACTTTTGGTGACTTTGGATGCAATTTCAATTTTCTTATAACTAACAATGGTTGGACACATTATGCTGTATTCATATATTCAAGATAGTCTGACGTGAGTACTATTAGATGTGCTTATGTAATATGACTTGTGTCGACCAAGTGTCTAGATTGTGGGCAAGTGTTCAGGATGTGTGAGTATCCAAAATAATGATTTTTTTCCCTTTATTTATTTATTTATTTATTTTTTATAATTATGAATGTGTCCACATATGTTCGCCAAGTGTCGGTATTCGACATGTATCTAAAGTGGACCCAACACCTTTGTAGAAGTGTCGATGGTTCTTAAGTCTTCAGAGTTTGACGGGATGGCTACATATAGAAATGCAAGAAGTCTTTGCCACTTAATATGTAATAATTTAAGAATTAGGATAAGAGAGTTGGATGCCTTTAATGATTGATTGCGCCATAGCCCATTTCACAATTTTTTTCCTTGACAGAGTCCATCATCCCGCAGATATGTATAATTTTAATTTTAATTTTAATTTTTTATTTTTAATTAGCTGAGAATCATGTTTATTTCTTTCTTTCAATTAAAGCATTCACAATATGTCATTTTGTTTTGCAGCCCTTTATAGCTTTGTTGAAGGTCCTCCATTTACCCTACAGAGGCTTTGTGAGGTACTAATCATTCCATTCTGTATAAAAGTATCATCATGATGACAGTTCTGATCTCTCTTTTTTATTTTTATTTATTTTTATTTTTTATTTATTTATTGCTATAGTAGAAGTTTTGGAACAAAATTTCAAACTTCTTAGCTCATGATTTTTAATTGTTTTCTGCGCTTTTCTTTAATTTTGTTTTTTTTTTTTTTTTTGTTTTGGTGGGTTTACAACTTTACATTCGTATCTGTTCTCCTTTCAAGAAGAGGAAGACTAATTTGCATAGAAGGTAGGAGATTGAAGCAAACAGAAAGAAACATAAATCTTCTTACAGCACTAAGAAAGAATAGGGTTACTCCAATCACCGCTGGAACCTAGATTTCTAAAGGGAAATCTGGGAAAAGCCTTAGAGAAGTTTAAAATCTGATAATATCTCAAAGTCTATTGATAAAGACTTGGTTACAGCAGATAAGAGGGCTATCCCTTTTATAAGAGCACTATTAATGTCACTTACTTTCTCTAGACTGACTTTCAAGCTTCCCTCAAAACATTAATGACAACTTTTACTATTCCCATGACATTTTCAGATTCCCACACCGTAGTTAGTACTTTGACTAGAGGCTATTGACTTCATTAATCTGACTAGACACTTTTCAATACACCATAAATTATTTGCAGCTGAGATTGAGAGGGACATTGAAATTAACTGAGGATGAAATTATTGGGAATAATTTAAAAAATTCAAATATTGTGGGAGAGATGTCTTGTAATAGGAAAGAGTGAAAAAAGATAATTCATGTGGCTGACGCCATTTATATATAATTAATGGAAGGATGATGATGATAATCTGTTCTCCTTTCATATTGATATTTTATTTTTTATTTTAGCCATGTTAAATTTCCTGATGTTAGGTTGAGTATTTTCATTTTGTGTTTTCTTTTAATCTTGTATTGAACAGATCCTGTTGACTGCACAAAACATTTATCCAAATCTTTCAAAGCTTGCTCTAGCACTAGAGAAGGTATGTTGGTTAAATTTTTGTAGCACAAATCATATGAAATTCTTGGACTGCTTTCCTCAAAGCTTGTGATCTTCCCATAGGCATACTTAAGTTCCTTCTTAATTTTTGCATCTTCTATTGTTGATAACAAATTTCCTTCAGCAGTTGACATGCCTTCACTTTTTTCATGGACTACTGTTCCTAACCCTCATATCAAAGATGGTCTTTCTAAAGAGACACCATATAGGTTCATGAAAACACTAGAGTTGTTTTATATCCCTTACAATAGTTTTTGGTATGGTTTTTTTTTTTAAAAAAAATTAGGTTGCTCACCATCTTATAGTTTGTCTGGAGTCCCTTGTGTTCTTGATAAACTGAACGCTTGCGACATAAATCAAGCTATACATTTTTCATGGTACTTAGGAACTTATGTATGGGGAAGTTCTATTGGACAATTCATTAGCCAAATTATCGATTATTAAACTTGGTTGATGACCTGCACTCCATTTTAGGTCTGAGAGGACTCTATATTAGGGACACTAACAAGTTCTTTAGTATAATGTTTGGTATTGACATTTGTTTTTGGGGAGTCGACGATTGTGGTGTCAGGCCTCTTAGAGCATCCCATAATCCATCACCGGCACATGCAGTCCTCTCGTCCCACATGTACCGGGCATAGGGCTGTAAACGAGCCGAGCTGAATGGCAGACTGTTTGGGCTCGGCTCAATCATTTTATAAGACTGTCCGAGCTCGGCTCGAGCTTGAGCCGAGCTTCTACATTGCTGTCTGTGCTCGGCACGAACATAAGTATGTAAGCTCAAGCTCGGCTCGCTTAGCTCGTTTAGTTTAGCGAGCCGAGCTTGGGCTCGAGCTGATTATCAAGCTTGACTCACAAATGCAATTCTGAAGCTTGTTTCAAGCTTCACAACACTTGATGAAGAGAGAGAGAGAGAGAGAGAAGGGGGGGGGGCATGTGGGGTAACAATTTTGCAACATTACCCACCAATCATCCAACACAACTATTCAACAAAGAGAAATGAATTACAAAAATTAATGAATGAAGCCATAATAGAAAATTTCAAGAGACGAAATTAGGAGGGGAAGATGTTAACAAATTAAGCGAGAGAGGCTACATCATCGGTGAATATCGCTGGCGCCCTTGCAAGATGCGAACGCAAAGAATGAGAGCCGGAATGGTACGGATTTCAAAACAGAACCCCATTGAATTGATTTTAGAAAAACTTGTAGGAAGAAATGAAAACCGTAAAATGGCAGAGAAAAGATTGGAGGAGAGATTTAGATAGAAAAAGTAGTGAGAAACTAACCTGTAAGAAGTGTTTGGTGTCACTTGAATTCCAGAGACACGTTTGAGAAGAGTTTGTGAAAGGAGGCCATACAGAATAGCCTGGGGGTAGCCCCAAGGGGATTCGAACTCCTGACCTCCAGGAGGTGAGGTGAGAATCTTGCCATTAGTCTATCCCCCTTAAGGTTATTCATATTATATATATTATATCTTATTGCGGTTCTTCATTTGGATCCCATGTTTGCCATCCAAGTTATTAGATTCACTGTCATCAGCATTCTAGGGTGGGTATGGGTGTGTGGATATGGTGTACTTTTGGTCCTTCGTCCAAATACTGCAAAAAGGAAAAATAAAAAGCACAGAATGTAAAAACCTTGATATTGCAATCAAAATATGGCTCACATACCTATTTCAGCAGCGTGTGTATTATTTCTAAACAAGTTCCTATATGTTCATAGGATTTTTAAGCTATATTTCTGATGAGTAAATTATATTCCAACTGATTTCTCATACTAATGTGTTTAGTCAATGGGGTTTTTATTCCTTTGGTGCAGTTTTGCTAAACGTCTCGGCTTGAAAAATAGGTCTAAATAACATTAGTATTGTTCACTCATGATACTTCCATCAATGAAGTTTTTTATTTTATTTTAGAATTTGTTGGTGACATCTACGTTGACGATCTCTCCTGATCCATATCCACCAACAATGCAAAAATCGGATGTTCCGGACGAAGGATGCAAGGAGCCTCAGTTGCAGCAATCTAATGCCTTACAAAATGGTGTCGAACCTATGGTAGGAGATACGGATGAAATAATGAGTGAGGTGGAGGTGGAGGTGGCTGATGTTAATGATGATATGGCCTTTGATTTGGAAGCCTTAGAAGAAACAGTTGGATCATCAGAAACAAATTCCGCGCCAGCCAATCATTCTTAGCCTTCTGATGAATGTTTTGAATCTGTCAAGTAACAGATTACGAAATTGTCTCTCTATGTTCAAATCAAATGCAAGGTAAAGCTTTTGAAAGGCAATAGGAGAGTGCATAGATTGGTGTCACAAAATCAAAGATAGACCTATTAACACAGCCTTGGTGCTGTACTTATGCCACTGCCAGTGTAACTATTTTGTTTCTTGCCTTTCCAAGATTTGGTTCTTATTTTTAGTGAATTGTTGTGTCGTCTATATTCTTTTCGATATGTTTCTTTTGGGGGTGATAAACAGGCTGAATTCAGCCTGACTCGTCGGAGCTGGGATCCTCTGCTATATGCGGTACACCAACATCAGAGGAATAAGACAAAATAGTGGCAAGTTAAGGGGTAAAATTGTAAAAGAATAATTAAGTATTTTAGTAAGTAAATAAAAGAAATAAAAATATAATCCCAATTTGAATAGGATATCTATTACAAGGGGTTATTTGTTTGGCTTTGGAGATGAGAAAGTGATTGGGTATAAATGGGTGGGTATGTAGCATTATCTAACAACTTGAGTTTTTGGGTAAATAGGTTAGTGTCAATCCGTTACAGTTGGTATCAAACTTGGTCCTTGATTTGTTACTATGCCAAGCGCTTGCTTCGGATGGCATCGGGATAAGTTACCCCGAGTAGGTAGGGTGGTCCGACTGTAACGAGGGCGTTGCGAGTCCGGTGGGGGAGAATGTTACAAGGGATTATTTGTTCCACATCAGATCCGGATGGGAAAGTGATTGGATATAAATGGGTGGGTATATAGCATTATTCAATAACTTGAGTTTTTGGATAAATGAATAAGCCATAATATTGATAATATTCATGTATGCATGATTATAATGATGGGGGAGAATTTGCAAAAGTAATATTTTTTTGATTCCCAAGAATTTTCATGTCAGTGTCCAATATTTTGGATGTTATACAAGCAAAAGATTTAGTGATTGTATAATTTTGAAATTCTTAATATTAATACTGATTAATTGACTTTATGAAAATAATCATAACCATAGAGAGAAGTAGATTCACATGGGCATATGGTTTATCTTCAGGGCTCATATTAGCGAGGAGTAAGCTGACAGACCCCAGCGTCATGGTATCGCGGATTAATTAATTTGAGTGTTGAAAAAATAAGAACTTGGAGAATTGTTCTAAAAAAAATGGATTAAAAATTAGTAAGACTTAAAACAAATACATGAAATGTAAATTCAATAAAGATTTAGAAATTAATAATATAACAATAACATCATTTTTTATAATTAGGATCAATAATACAAAAAAATAAAATAAATAAATAAATAAAGATGGAGAAATAGATCAAGAGATTACTAGTAGGACTGGAATGATAGACCTAATAGAGACAAACTAATAGTATTTTGTGTGATAAAAAAAAAAAATCAAATAAGTTAAAAGGAAAAGTTTGTAGGTTGATCATTAATCTATGAAGCAAAGTAAAGGGCGTAAAAGTAATTGAAATGATGATGTTTATGTGACCTTTTTTTTTTTTTTTAACAAAAAAAAAAAAAAAATGAAATACTTATTTATTTGTATATAAAGATAAGAGATCGATTAACTCTATTTTATTTTATTTTATTTTATTCATAATTGATCTCACGCACTGCCCACACTCCAAGGAATTGTTTACGTGACATCATCTAGGGGGAAAAAAAAATTGTTTAAAATTTTCCAATTTAATCTGAGCAATAAAATCGGCAGTATGTACACCAAAATAGCCATACAGAGACAACCTGTGATCGAATGCTAGTCTTAGATTCTTCAACTGAATGTTTTCTTAAAATTTAAAAGCTCAAACAAGATGATGGATGACTGAAACTGAGAATGAATATGATTTTCTTTCATTTATAAATATAAGTATAATTTTTTTCTACATTAACCAACTGTACAGCCTATAGAGCTATTTACATTCTCACCTCAACTACATCACCATCTTTGAGCTCTGTGGCGGGCAATACAAGCTGGCCGTTTACGGAAACCAGCTTTCCTTCAAATCCTACTCTTCTTGCTGCGTCGGCTGCAGTGCTTCCGGTTCTTAACCTCATTATCTCACCATGAGGCCAACATACAATCACCACTTCCCCAAGAGCATCAGAGTTAGGGTTACTATACAGTTTCGAATTATGCATTGGCTGTTCAAGACTAGCCTCTGAACGCAGCTGCTCCTCCCATTGAAGCATTGTCCTCAGTAGATGAACCTAGAATTTACAAGCGTATATTAGTCTAGCATATATTTCACGATGAAGTGATCGATCATATGAGAACTCCATATTTGTTGTGCATGCATGCGTGTGGGAGGGGGACTGTTCGTGTGGGTGGGGTTCATCACTACTAACTCAACAGATCCTTTTCCCAACCCTAATTGTTAACTACTGTGGTGGGGAAACCATTTCTATTTCTATTTTATGGTCAGGCTCGCACAATCATTTATAAATTATAACAGACAATTTCGTAGGTCAGGAACAAAATAAAATTGCATGTCACTGTAAAGAGGCAATGGGGTTTAGAGAAAACAATTCAAATTTAGGTACTTATGCTATGTTTAGAAAGGGAAAAATAGGTCCAAGGTATGGTTCAAGATTTATCCAACAAAAACCTGTTGGAGAAGAAAAAAACGAAAAAAAGGAAAAAGGACTGATTCATCCAGAAAAGGTTTTCATTATATTGCAAAAAAAGGACAAATGTCTTTTTCTTTGTTCCGAAAAGGAAATTTATGACAGAACATCATAAAAAGCTGGTTCTACAGTATTAATCATCATGAACTTATGCAAATATAATAACAGAATACGAAATTATTTTTTGCTTTCAGAAAAAAATTTTCATTTCCAAATTCAGCCAAAGACGATAAGTGAGATAAAATATGTTCCTCATCTCTATTGCAAAATATGTTTGATGCTTTTGATTTGGTTCGGTTCAGTCAGCGAGAATAAGTGAGATCAAATATATTCATCTCTACTGAAACATGGGTTTGGGGATTTTGATTTGGTCTAGAATCAAAAGTATTAACAATCATCATCATTTGCTTCATATTACTCGCATAACTTGGCAACCAATGAGGTAATTATGCTCATATAGCAAGTGTTACATTCTTGTATGTAAAAAACCAAAACTCATGAAGATTATAATGACATGTTTCCAACAACTAGTAATAAAGGAAATGGACTTTCCAACGTAAGACAACTGTAAACAAACCTTGTTATTGATGCCAGTTCCCATAGAAGTTGAACTTAAAGAGTCAGAATTTGTCCTCTCATAGCGGCTAATGGAAGCAACCTGTTTTCCCTCAAAAACAGCAGATACAACTGCCCGATATTCAGTTCTATCCTGTTCTGTCAAATCAATAACTTGGATGAAGGTTGGCAGTAAGCGCTGGAATTGATCTTGCTGCACAGTAATATAACAGATTTGACTCATTTCTTTCAAACTCCAATGATAAAGAAATGATTCTGTCAGTATTAACTAAATAAATGCTAATATTATTAGTAGTTTTTGATAATTTTATGAACCCCGGTTAGAACAAATGCCAATGGAAGCAAAATCCAGCTAATACAGAGAAATTCAGGATGTAAACAAGTTTCATCGCCCACCAGAATGCCTTGATGAACAATAACATCATCGTTGACATCAGGAACATGCCATCAATCTTTTATCACTTCTACAAATACTGTAATATTTGAGAAAATTTTAAAATTATTTGATATTTTTTTTCTAGTACTCAATGTAATTCAATTTTTTAAAATGTACTAAAAAATAATTAAAATTTATAACCTAACGTATAACCATCACATATTTCAAATACTAAAAGCACAGAAAATCACAACAAACATAAAGAAAAGAAGCCTTCATAGAGGGGAAAAAAAAAGTTTCAAATGAGAATTTTAAGTCCACAAATATTTCTGATGGGTAAAATGAGTAATGCCACTGCAAAAAGTCATGTCATAAATGCATGGATGCATGTCACATGTGCATAATGATCCAGAGCGCCTCATGCATAAAACATGAACTCATTTTCTTATTAGAGAGAGAGAGTGAGAGAGAGAGTTGCAACAAAATATCAGATTATGTTGTATTAGAAGAAGTCCAAAATACCAATTTCCAGCATCAGTGCAAACCTGCATAATAATATGATACATGCAAGGGACACCCGGAAAGCTACAAAGTAGAAACTTCCAGCAACTCTGTAAACCATTTGCTCATTTGTTTCCAAATCGTAATACCATATGAGTTTGATTTCAAATTTCCTTTTTTCATATGGGCTATGCCCTAAGTAGTACACAATTGGACATGTAATACAGATGCAATGTCAACACAGTTACACAAACACAACAAATCCAAAAATGGTAAAATAAGGAGAAGGCAGAGACATGGACAGGACTAGTATATTATCATACATAAATATACAATTTTAAATGTATACATCTATTACGCAAGACAAATATATAACTTCGATTAATATTTTCAGTTTCTATCAAAATTGTAAAAGGAAAAGCTCATCGAACATACCTTGTGGTACATACCATCTCGACAAAGTGTGTATTTTTCGAGGCAAGTACACCAATCTCCATGTCCTGGTTCACACCACCACTCGTCAGACACCTGGAAACTAGTTCAGTCAGTACAAGTCAGATAAAGACATTTCCCATAATATCATTCTCGAACATGGTGGAAATATTATGCTTATGTATCAAATACTATTATATAGGAGAACAAAACAAATTATTAGTAGGGTTCCCCCATTTACTTAACTAAAAAATACCATATGAGATCTAACTTATCTCCTTATTTGGCAGATCAAGTAAGCTTAAATCATCATTTTTTTTTTTTTTTTTTTTTTTCCCTTTTCTGATACCAGTTCAATATATTCATGTTTTTGTTTTTATACTGTTGTGAGCCTGTGATGGGCACCACATGATCATCCAGTAGCAGTAGAGTGGTGGTTAGCCATCATCATAGCGAAGTTATCATGATACTCTGATAGTGGGCCGAGGCAACCCTAAGAGGGCCAACTGAAGGGAAAGGGAAGAAGTGCAGATGCCACGAGAGAGAGAATGTCATTCAGATGTTGAGACGAAAATTTGTCTGATGTATTACTGGCAACATAGTGATCACCAAGGGTTCACGAATGCTAGTTGGCGAACTTCATTGTTTGTAAAATTGGATATTTACTAGTCCAGAAAGAAATCATTTACATATAATCATATAAAAAAAATGGTGCTACAGACAAAATATGTTGAAATTTCTGAAAAACAAGAGACTCACTTGAGTTAAATTTTTAGTGATCAACATGTAATAATTCTCCAAAATGAATGAGAAGGAGACACTGCAGATCGAACAAGTTTTGGGTAAGACAGAATAGAATTAAGGAGTTGCCACATAATGGAGGCCTAACACTAAGTGCAAGAAAGAATTGTAATGAACTGAAGCATTGTGCAAACCACATTACTGGTTAAGGATGTGAACGACCCCCACACCATAAGGTAATTCTAACCAATGAATTAATGAACCATGTGCCAAAAATTACGACAGCAAAAGATATAAACTAGGCAAATCTGGAAAGGTCTCCAAGGAAGGGATAATCCAAATAGAAAGGGGGTAAAAGACACTAACTTTTGAATCTTAAAAACATTTGAAATAAATTTGATGGAATACTATGCCCTCCGACAGTTGAAAGAAATAACATTTGAATTCACTTAGGTCTAGAAGACAATAGTTATGGAGAACACATTTACTGCCAATTTACATAGAACTTTGCTGGATAAAGTAAATTTAAAGAAAACTTCAATGAAGATGTAAAAATTGAAATTAATATAACAAGAGGTCTTCATTCTTTTGTGAAATAACTATGAGTCATTATCGAGGAATGACCAAAACAAGGTCTATAATTAAATATTTCCAAAGGAATTTATCACGAATCTGTGGCTTGAATATCCTCTGTGACCTTTTATTAATTTTAAGGTGGTCTGTGTTTTGCCTTAGAAAGCAGGATGAATATACTTCAGTCTGCAATTTGATCATGGCTAATTTTTACGTCCACGAACATGTTACAGATAGAATAATTCAAAAATCACTGTTATTTTTATACATTTAACTTTGTGAAAGAATAGTTTCCAAAATTCTAAATATTTGATATACTAGGAGCACCATTGAACTCCAACTAAATTGTTTATATTTATAACAACTGTTAATACAAATCAAACAGTGTGGTCCAAACAAGAAGTATGATTTAGTTGTGATGGTAATGGCCTCAACAAGTCAAAAAGACACAACAGGACTTAAGAGCCATCGTAAGAAATCTACCACAATATTCCAGGAGAGAACCTGTCATATACCATTTTATGAAAAATTTTATGAAAATGACGAATGAATGGCTGGACAAACACAAGACAATTGTTTATAAGGTCCACCAACATCTGTTTTAGCAGACAACGAAAAAGACGAGAATCCTAAAATCAATCAAAAGATCTATTCTAGTTAAACCCCAAAATGTACTACTTCCTGGTGAGTCTAATTTCCAAATTTTTTACAGAAATACCATCTAGAACAAGCTTCGTGTATATGTTAAACAAGATTGAGCAAACACTCTTCATCAACTGTTTTATCGTTGGATTTAAATCCTATGCTGCCATCGTTGAATCTAAAACCATGTCTTGCATTTAAATCTGGAACTTCTTCTGCTTGATTTCTATCTTTCCTTTTAAAGCAGTGGCGTACAAAGTTTTTTTGCACATGACTAAATTATCTATTTCAGACAGCTCTATTCATAAATAGGCTACTTAAAGTCGTCTCTTCCAGGTTCTCTCCAATATAAAGAACTGCTAATATTGTCCTTCAGATTAGGCAACTTATTTACATTGATAAATTCCTCAGTAATGTTTAGTCCTTTAAAATGTTAAGTCAATTGCCCAAAATTCTACTCCATACATTTAGATAGATGCTGAATAGTATTCTCTACTAAGGTTTTTAGAATAGCATTGTCAAAGGACTGTTAAAGCCAATCCTATGCATCAGCCATCAATAGCTATGGGTTACGTCATCCTGAATATTGTCTTCCTAACACATGATTGATGTAACGTGATAGAGCGCAGGCGCAAGACCATAGATATGCTTTATTTTGCGTGCATCACACTCTAGCCTCGTAATCAACAGCACTTCACTTTCCAAAAAGAAAAATATTTTCAGCTGCTATGAAAATAAATCAGCATTCTGAGCATCTAATAAATAAATAAATAAATAAATAAAATAAAATAAAAAATAAATAAATGTGCTTGACAAAGTTGATGCAAGACTGGGCCATTGGAACACTATCAACCTTTCCTTAGCAGGTCGGTTGGAGTTGATTAAATCAGTTCTCTTCTCTTATTTAAATCATTGGATTTTTGGTTTCAAAATTCCTTGGGAGGTCAAAAATCTGTTGGAAAGAAGATTTAAACATTTTTTGTGGAGTGGTAAACAGGATACTAAGAAGATGGCTCAAATGAAGTGGAGTCTAGTTACTCTTCCTGCAGATGAGGGTGGTTTCAATATTAGGAGGATCAATGGCATTGATTGTGCTGCCAAAATGACCATGTGTTGGGATTTTGTTCAGAAAAAAGATAAGCTATGGATTAAATGGTTGCATGTTGTCTATTTAGGCAGAACTTCCTTTTGGTTAGTAGTCCCAAAAATCACTGATTCAGCAGTTTGGAAACACCTTTTGGGGGTTAGGGATTTGATGCTAGAGAATGTTTCATTCCAGATAGGAGATGGCAGGCAGTTCAAGTTAATGACAGATCCATGGTGTAACGAACAATCTTTGATTCAAATGTTTGGTGCTACTATGTTCAGGAATTTTGACAGACACTTCTGGCCTCAATCATAGATCTTTCTCTCCTCAAATTAGGAATTCTATACAACAGTTGGTTATACACCCTGTGTCTGATCAAATCAAATGGAAGCATGGTAATTTTTCTCTGAAGGCTGCTTGGAATATTTGCAGATCCAAAGGTCAGACTTTGAAATGGACATCTATATGCTGGAAGAGATGTAGGCCAAGGGTGAGTGTTTGCACTGCTATCATTCTTCATAACAAGAATCTGTCCTTTGCGAACTTACAGAAAAGAGGAATGCAACTTACATCCATTTGTCATAACTGCTTTGCTTGGGATGATTCAAATGATCATCTTTTCTGCACATGTGAATTTGCTTCAAATATTTGGAGAGACATCTTTGATTTGCTGCAGATGGAGAGGCCTACATTCTCTACTCTTCTTCAGGTGGTGGACTGGTTTATTCAACATACTTCTAACAAATCCATCAAATCCAAGATTTTGAGTGGTATTTTTGCAGTCACAGAATGGAAGATATGGGCTATCAGAAATGCTACTCTTCATAATGGGACTAGAGATCAGATTACTCAAGTTGTTCAGGCTATTGTTTGGGATTTTATTTCATATCTCCACATTAGTCTTTCAGATTTTCTGATTGTATTTGGTTCTTAATGTTTTTTTATTTGCTTGCTTTTAGCATTTACTGGAAGTGGACATATTCCATTCCTTGAGTAGTTTTATGGAGGTATGCCTCCTTGTGTAATTGTACTGCTTTGTTTTTTATTTATAAAATAGCCCATTCAGGGAAAAAAAAAAAAAAAAATTCTAAAACAAATGCACGGAAACTGAAAAAAGATCCCCATCAACTAATTTATTTCTGTTTGCAAGAGCTACACTGTTGTTTATCAAGAACTGAAGAAACAAGAAGACATGCAAAAATGTTACAACTTTTAAAAAATCTAGGAACTTTGTAAGTGATGAAGCTACTTTTCACTAAAACATAATCAAGAAATCAAAGAAACTCGACCTTTTTGTATAATCTTGCATAAGCTTCCAATCGCTTGATTTGGAAAGTAGATCTCCTGTCTGCCACTGCTTCAGAAGCTGCTAGTCCAAAGCTCACAGCAACAAGCAGCTCTCTTCCACCCTTATCTACTCTGGAAATGCAAGTTTTGGGCAAAGACTTAGTGAAGGAAAAGCTTCGCATGCAAGTCCATAATTTAAAGATGAAAACCTGACAATAACCGCAGCAAGCAAGTGACTTCCTTCCACTCTAAGGACTGGATGTCCCGCTTTCAGGGAACTGTACTTATGAAACACGTCTTCTTCAATAGAACTTTGATCCTCCATATCTTTTGAGAGATATGAGGACGCTGTTATTTCAGGATCATCCATGCTGCTTACAGAAGGCAATATGTTTTCAGCTTCTTTATACAGCCAATGTGCAGCAAGTCCATGTTCCGCATACTCGTGCATCCTCTGAAAATTTAGTAGTGACTATTACCATGATCTAAATTAAATGCATGTAAAATTCAGTTTGACCTGAATGCAGTATTGGAAGAAGTAAAGCACCTGCGTTCTAATTTGAACTTCCAAAGGGGTATTATCAGGACCTTGTACTGCAGTGTGCAGAGACTGAGATTAGAAAAGGAAAGTTAGGGTCTGTAGAGGAGTAAGAAAAGAGGGATAGATAAGCATATATAATGTATTTACTATTTATACATGTATGTAAATATGTTGTTATAGTGGTAGTTAGAAGGAATATAAAATATGTACGCAGTTCATAATATGAACATAAAGATAAATAAGCGACTCAATTGAAATAACCTCTAAACCATCCCTATTGTTCGTCACAACCTAGTGCTGGAAGTTAACTGGGAGCCTGTGAATGTAGAAAAATCTTTCACAATTACATGTCATAAGATGAAGGATCCAATAATATGACTGTTCTGACAAACTTATGGTAGGGTCACAGGTCACCTGAAATAAGTAATATATATTTACGAGTACAGGCTATATGTTTGTAGGACATAAGGAGAAAGTACAATTTATAGTTTCTAGCTCTGACAGATCAAAATAATGTTGTTGAACTTTGTTGTGAAGTTCCCAACAATGATCAACATAATGGTTGGTACATGTCCAGCCACCACAAACACCTCAACCACGATGCCACCTCTGCTAGGGTGTGAAAGACCACGTCCCTCTCAGCTACCTCGTGAAGTATCTGATCGAAGGTAATTGGAACTTCAATTTGGTAGTAGTTATAGAACCGAAAAAGAGTCCTTGTTTTTTGATTTGTCACCCATGATAGTAGAGACAAGACAATCCGAGTACAAGTGTCAATCATGAAAAACTAATGAATTCTCAGCATGAAATCAAAAAGAAAGGGACTACTGAATTTTGAGCATGAAATCAAGAAGAAAGGGACCAAAATGGAGCTCTTGCGAAAAATATGTCCCAATACCAACAACCTTGTTTTGCGTGTGTGTTACGAATGTATATTTCCAATGAAATTACCAGTCGGAATTTTCCATTAGTACTAATACTGAAACAAGAAGGGAAATTCAACCTGATAGCCACTTGGTTTTGGATTAACAATGTAGTCATCAAATTCACCATCAATAGGGGTCCAAAGCCTGCACAGAGTAAAAGAAAACATTAGCCAGTTTTTGGTCACATTAAGCAGGTGCGATTTAGAACAGATGCCTTAGTTAGTTTTCGATGAATCATGCGATGTCCTTTCTAAGTAGTTTATGCAGACCTATATCCAGTGACAATATCGTATCTCAGAATTGAGAAGCAAAATAGCACCAGCACACATTTCATATCATTCAGTAAAAGTATAATTCAATTGCATGTATCACATAGATAGAGGGTCTACAATTTTTTATATCCATTCACCTGTGCACACATTTCATATCATCCGTTTTAAGTATAATTCAATTTTATGTATCACATAGATAGAGGGTATATCATTTTTTTTATATCCATTCACCTGTGCACGATGTTGAGAAGATTGTAACAACACTGAACTGCCTGTCCGTGTAAAGTCCCATTTTTGTCTCCAACAACTACCCTCAATGCACGGGCATCACATACTTTATTGATGCCGACCTCTTTTCGTTTCATCTATGACAATTGAAATTAAAATCAGAATTTTCACACAAAAAATTAACATGAGTTTTCTGCTGGGGCTTATCCAACAAAACTTCATGTGGTGAAGGTAAATGATAAATATACAAAACACTACCTAAATCCACAACATACAAATTGAGAGTAACTAATTGTAATATTATCAGACAATAGCTGCACACTGTAACTTAAACATGAAAGATAATAGTAGTAATATTCAATGATTGGCGTTTAAGAAATAAGAGTCAATCAATGCATAGCTAAATGTTGTTGATACAGACCAGCATATGCCGCACGGGCTACTTATTGTCAGGGGCTTATTTGTTATTACTTATATAATGTTGGGGCTTATGTGTAATTTCTAAAACTTGTTATTATAAATAGAATGTGGTGGAAGGATGAAAGTATTCTTTCATTCTTTCTCTCTTTCCCCGTCTCTCTTTTTTTTTTTTTTTTTCATCCGCTTTCTTCTCTTTTTCTTCTTCATCATCACTTACTATTGATTTAATTATATCTTAAAGTCAACATGGTATCAGAGCATGGTTTGTAAAGCTCTAGGTGTGTAGTTGAAACCCTTGGGCAAGTTTGTGTACACCCTAGTGAGTGTGAAGGGTTTTGAAGAGATTCCATGATGGGATTTGTTTGCAAGGAAGTAGTATTAAAAAAAAAAAATTGGACCTGTTTTTTATCTATTGCAATCTCGATCGGTTTTTTTTTTTTTTGTGTTCGCAAGGTTCAACAACAGCGGCTTTTTCTTCATCATTCGTGATTCTGGTATAGTATACTTTGTTGCTTTCTGGGGTTTATGTGGTGACTGTGTGGTCGCTTTTTTATGCATCTCAGAAGATGGTAATCTTTTTAGTTGAAGTTTATGTGTTAGAGAGGTGGTTCTCTACGTATTTTGTTGCTGTTTTTGTTTCTGAGGATTGTATACCCAGAAACTGTTTGATAAAATGTCTGGCTCAGAGGTGACTTCAAAAGAAGATGGGTCTGCTCCTAGTCTGACTCCAGTATTAGGTGGTAGTAGTGATCATTATCCAAGCCTTTGTATTACGACTGTTAGGCTGGATGAGACGAACTATGTGAAGTGGGCTCAATCTGCTCGTATGCATATCACTGGTCGTAGAATGATTGACCATATCGAAGGGATTGTCATGTATTGCTCCAAGAGCGATCCTGAATTTAAAGAGTGGAGTGCAAATAATGCACTAGTTATGACGTGGTTGTTGCAGTCAATGCAACCAAAGATCAGCAAAGGGTTTCTGTTTGTGAAAACAACTAAAGAGCTATGGACGGCTATGGAAGAGACGTAATCCTCGGTTGGTAATTTTGCAAAATTGTATGAACTCCAACAACATATTTCAAGATTCAAGCAGGAAAACCAAACTCTTGCTACATGTTACCACACTCTACGTGATAAATGGGAAGAGTTAGATCACTACCAAGACTACATACCTGTGTGTGCAGCTAATGTTAAAGCATTTTATGCTATGGTAGAAAGGAATTGAATCTATGAGTTCTTGGGTGGTCTACATCCGAGATACAAGCATGCAAGGGTACAAGTGTTAGGCAGGTATCCAGCCCCTACTTCTATTAGAGATGTGTTTTCGTATATCCAGGAGGCTATGTTTGCCCCTGTATACACTAAGCCTGAGCCAGAAGTACAATTGTATGAGAGGTCTACTCTTGCCACACAACAATGGAACAAGCCCAATCCTCTAAAAGGAGGGAAACAGGATGACAAGAGCAACTTGAGGTGTGATCACTGTGGGCGTATGCGCCACACTAAGGAAACATGCTGGAATCTACACGGTCGCCTTACTCTAGCTCCTGCTAATGGGAATGTTAGGCCGAGGCCTAGTCCATTTAGGGGGTTATCTACGGCACATACTACAGAGTGTGAGATTGCTTCTACTGGTCATGCCTCTTTAGGGCCACCGAGTTCTTTGTCCGGGGTTGAACTTGATGCTCTCCGACATCTACTAGCACAACATTCCTCCATTTCCACCTCACTTCGCTTAAACAGGTACCTCTCATTCGGCACATCAAGGTTTCCACATTATCTAGTGGGCCACCCTGGATAATTCATTTAGGAGCCACTTATCACATGATTGGTATAGCATCTAATTTTTCTTCGTATAATTTATGTTCTGGTAAGGATAAGGTTAGAGTGGCTGATGGCACCTTCACCTCCATTGCGGGGAGGGCACTGTTTTTGCCTCTTCTAATCTTACCTTATCCTTTGTTCTTCATGTCCCAAAGTTTACCAATAACCTCCTTTCTGTCAGTCACACTACAAAAGGCCTGAATTGTAACGTAACCTTTTTTCCATCTCACTGTGTGTTTTAGGACTTGGACACGGGGAAGACGATTGGAAGTGGATGTGAGGACAATGGCTTGTATTTGCTGAACGCGAGACCAACTTCTTATTATGTTGCAAATCAATCTGGTGTTAGGAATAGTAATGTCAATAAAAATCTGTTAATGCGATGGCATAATAGACTAGTTCATTTACCTCTTCCTGTTTTAAAGCATGTGCTTCCCCAATTTGCTTCTGTTGAATCTTTTGAGTTAAATTGTGAAACACGCGTTCTTGCCAAACAATGTCATGTTTCTTATACTACTAGTATTAATAAAAATGCAGCTCCTTTGCAGCTTGTTTATTCTGATGTGGGGGGTCCTACTTTGTTACTTGGTTTTCGTTACTTTGTTGTGTTTGTTGATGACTTTAGTCGATATATTTGGCTTTATCTTTTGAAAACCAAAGATGAAGTTCATTCCATTTTTAAAACCTTTCATAGGATGGTATGTACTCAGTTTGGTTGTCCCCTCAAAATCCTTCAATCAGAAAATGGAGGAGAGTTTATGTATGGTGGTCTTGCCTCCTTTTTTGCTGATAACAGTATTGTCCATCAAACCTCTTATGTCGATACACCACAACAGAACGGTGTAGCTGAAAGAAAACACCTTATTATTATGGAGGTGACCTATTCTCTTCTAATTGGGATGGGAGTGCCTAAAAGTTATTGGGTTGATGCAACCTTAACAACTACATACCTTATCAATCGCATGCCTTCTAAGGTTCTTGGCTATCAATCCCCCGAAAGTGTTTACTATCCCTACGAAAGTGTTTGGTTGTGTTTGTTATGTTCAAATTCATCATCACAAGGACAAAATGGACCCTAAGGCAATCCGATGTGTCCTTCTTAGCTACTCTGCCACTCAGAAAGGGTATTGGTGTTATAACCCTACCACTCGTCGTCGCTTTGTCTCCAGGGATGTTACATTTTTTGAGTCTGTTCCTTTTTTTTCCACTGCTCGGGATTCTCTACAGGGGGAAACTACTATACAGGTAGAGAATCTGTTGTCCATTCAGAGGGAATGCCCCCCTTCCTTTGCCTGTTCCCATTCAGGGGGAGCTTCTTACTGAGGTGCCTATGTCTAGTCCTCCTAACACTAATGATTTACAGCAGGGAAAGCAACCAATTGTCTACACTAGGATGGCAAAACAAGTTATTGACTCACCCCAGGACTAAGAAGTCTCCCTCGATCCAGGTAATTCCTTAGTTGACATTGATACTCCTGATTCTTTTCCTAATAGCATTCCTGTTGATCTTAATGTCCCTATTGCCTATCGAAGGGTGTTTGTAGTTATACAAAGCATCCTATATCTCAGTTTGTATCCTATGATGCCTTATCTCCAACATATCGTGCTTTCACTTCGTGTATCTCCTCTGTATCTGTTCCTTCTAGTGTTTCAGATGCTCTCAGTCAAACTCCACGGAAGAAAGCTATGCTTGAATAAATGATGGCCCTTGAGAAGAATGGTACTTGGGATATTGTTCCATTACCTAGGGGTAAGAAACCAGTACGCTGCAAATTGGTCTACACAATAAAGTATCATGCAGGTAGACCAATTGAGAGTTATAAAGCTCGGTTAGTTGCAAGGGCTTCACACAGACCTATGGAATTTGATTATCTGGAAACATTTGCTCCAGTTGCCAAAATGAACTCTATACGTGTTCTTCTTTCTTTGGCAGCTAATTTGAATTGGCCCTTACATCAACTGGATGTAAAGAGTGTTTTCCTTCATGGTGAGTTAGAGGAAGAGGTGTATATGACTATGCCACCAGGGTTTAAGCTTGCTAATGGTCAGAATTTAGTGTACAAGCTAAATAAAGCCTTGTATGGCTTAAAGCAGTTGCCACGAGCTTGGTTTGAGGGGTTCAACACTGCTGTGAAAGTAGGGTACACAGAGTCAGGCAGATCATATTTTCCTCATTAAGAAGCATCAGGGCTGCACCACTGCCCTTATTGTATATGTTGATGATATTGTTATCATTGGAAATGATCCAAAAGAGATTCGTTGAATGAAGTCATTCCTGGGACAGAGTTCGAGGTTAAAAGACCTCGAATCATTGAGATACTTTCTTAGCATCGAGGTGTGTAGATCGAAGTATGTGTTAGATTTGTTGGCTGAAACAGGTAAGCTTGGAGCTAAACCTATTGATATTCCCATTGAGCAGAACCATAGGCTTAATGATGTAGATGGAGACCCATTACATGATGTGGGAAGATTTCAGCGATTGGTTGGAAGACTGATTTATTTCTCTCACGCGCCGGGATATTGCCCATGCTGTTAGTGTGATTAGTTAGTGTTAGCATTTATGATACCACGATTTATGGTATAACTTACCATAATAGCCGAGATATGATAGGCCCAAATCATGGGATGTGATTTACCATATTATCTGTGAGATATGATAGCCACTAATCATGTATTTGACTTTATTTACGCATATGTTTAGGCATAGAATATGCAATGGTTTGATTTTGTTTCCTTTCTTGTAATATGAGCATGTGCTCATTTTATCTATAAATACTAGAGCTGTGAATGGGTAATTCATCTCATTCAAGTCTTTACGCAATTCTCTCTTTTCTCTTCTTTTTATATTTCTACTTGGTATCAGAGCCAACACCTTTCCACACCTTTCAGC